ATTCTGCCACGAAGTCGGCCAAAACTTGGTCTTTAACTGCTGTTCTCGGCCTGAACTCCAGGTCATACTGACCTAGGGCTATGGCCCATCTTGCTATCCTTCCTGTTAAGTCTCCTTGCAGCAACAAGAACTTCAGTGGATGCTCTGTTAAGACCACAATCTTGTGCGTTTGAAAGTAATGGTTCAACTTCTTTGAAGCCATTAGTAAGGCTAGCATTAATTTCTCCAGTGGTAGATACCTTGTTTCTGCATCGGCCAAGGTTTTACTTACATAATAAACAGCCCTTTGCTCCCATTTTTCTTCTTGGATTAGTACTACAATGACTGCGTGTTTTGAAACTACCAAGTACAAAAACAGTTCTTCCCCTGGTTCTGGATTGGAAAGAACCGGAGTTGTGGTCAAGTACTTCTTTAGGTTGGTTAAAGCGGCTTCGCATTCTTCTGTCCACAGAAAGTCTGTGGCTTTTTTTACCAAGTTGAAGAAGGGTCTGCATTTATTTGAGCTTCTGCTGATGAATCTGTTTAGGGCTACAGCCCTTCCAGTAAGCATCTGAACCTGTTTTGCCGATGTTGGGCTCTTCAGCTCTAGGATGGCCTTGATTTGGTCTGGGCTGGCCTCAATGCCCTTTCTTGTTACCAGATACCCTAAAAACTTATCTGATCCAACTCCAAACGCGCACTTTGATGGGTTGAGTCGGAGCCGATATGTTTTAAGTATATCAAAAACTTCTTTTAGGTAGGCAAGATGACCCTTAGATTCCTTGGTCTTCACGACCATGTCATCGATGTAGACTTCTACCGTTTTTCCAATTAGGTGCTTAAACGTCTTTGTTACTAACCTTTGGTAAGTTGCTCCTGCGTTTTTCAACCCAAAAGGCATTACCTTGTAATAGTACAAGCCAAAACTCTTCCAAAACCAAGCTTTTAAGCCCAGGCTAAAATAGCCAAAAAAATCAAAAAGCCAACCCACTTCCCAAACGGAGGCTGAAACTCTTTTCACCTAATTTGTTGCAAAACTCTTATTTCAATGAAAAATAATAATGTGAAACAAAAGTGTGTTGCGGAAATAAGTATGTATTTGCAAAATAACACTATTGCTCCATTCTATTTGACCTCATTTGTTAAAGGCCCGTTTTGATCTTTCTCCATGGGTTGTGTCAAAGCAGAGTGCCTGTCCTTGAACATGCCGATGTTCTTTATGCCTTGGATCCTTCATTCGATGTGTCCTTTGGGACTCTTCTTGCCTCGGCTCCTCTCGTCCGACTTCCTTGGAAGGTCGGTGTGAGTGCCTTCCACTCCTGGTGTGCTGACTCTTCTTCGGCTAAGCCTGAGCCGAGAAGAAAGAAGCGTTCTTCGTCGCCCTCCTGGACAAGGATTTTCTTTAGTGTCTCTTCACTCTTTTCGGTTGGCTCTTTGCCGACATCATCTAGGACCTCCATGTCCTCGTCTTCAATCTCTGCCTCTTTTGGCTCTCGAATGCTGCAAGTAGACTTCGTTGTTGCCATGGAGCAACTTTTTGCCTGCAGTTGATCTCCTCTAACTTCCTCAATCCTATGCTCTGTGGGGAACCGTAGTAGTTGATGCAATGTTGAGGGAACTGCCCCCATTGCATGCAACCATGGTCTTCCCAAGATGATGTTATATGGCGAGGGTGTGTCAATCACCATAAATTCTATCTTGATCTTCTTAGTTCCAGCTTGTACTTCCACGCTTGCTGCGCCAAGTGGCCATGTCGGCGTTCCATTGAAGCTGACCATAGGGTTGCTGGATTGTTCAGCTCCTTGTAACATCTGACGTACATGATGTCGCAAGAGCTACCTTGATCTATTAGGATGCGTTTTACCTGGCACTCCCCAACCTGGAGGGATACTACCAAGGCATCATTATGCGGATGCTGGACCATCTCTAGGTCGGCTTCAGTGAAGGTTATCATCGGTCCTTGGCATTCTTCAGGCCGAGGTCTTTTGTGTCTGACCTGGTTCACATGCTGCAGGTGTTTTACTCTTTGGGTTTCTTCCCGAATGTCGTTTTCGCTTACTCTTGAGTGGATGACATTAACCACCCGTGGTCCTCCTGCCTGTGGTTGTTGTGCTGGGGGAGGCGGAGCTGCGGGTGCTTGAGGCAATCTTGCCTGTTCTTCTCTTGTCCTGGCCTCATCAAGAAGGTCTCTCAGATGGCCTTGCCTTACCAGATCTTCTAAGTGTGCTTTTAAGGCTCTGCAGCCCTGAGTTGGGTGTCCTTCTTCATTGTGGTAAGCACAGCGCCTACCAACGTTTCTTCCCATAAATTCCCTTGGTGCTCTTACTGGTGTCCTGAAATAGGGCTGGTTTCATATTTGATCCAGGACTTTATGGATAGGGATTCAGAACACCGTCGTCACTGCCTGTTTACCCTTCAATTCCTTTTCTTGTTTGGTTGGCCCATTGTTACCCCGGCCTCGCTTCGGCGAGCCGTTTCCTTTCTCCTGTTTTATCTCTTTGTTTCCCGATGTATCTTCCTTGACTCTGGTGTACTTCTCGATTCTTGCCATGAGTTATTCCATGCTTTTTGGCAATGTTTTCGCCAAAGACTTCCGTAGTGGGCAGTCATTTTTCAGGCCGTTCTTGAAAGACACGACCGCTACTTCTTGGTTGCATTCGGGTATTCAATTGAACACCTCGTAGTACCTCTTCGCGTAGGCCCTAAGGCCTTCTTCCTTGGTGATTCTTAAAGCCATCAGGGCGTCGACCCTCAAGGGCTGTAGTTTGTTCGTTACAAACCTGGCCACAAACATCTCGGCCAGGCCTTCCCACGTCTTTACGTTTCCCCTTGGTAGTTTATGGAACCAATCGGATGCAATTTCCCCAAAGGATGAGGGGAATACTTTGCAGAGCAATGGCTCGTTCCCACTACATAACGCCATTGAATTCAGGTATAGTCCAACATGAAAGTTGGGATCTAACTTACCATCATAAATTTGGAACCTCGGCATACTGAATCTCTTTGGTGCTTCAAATTTGTCTAGTTCCATCGAGAATGGCGTCCTCGGCTTAACTGGGGAGGTTACCTCGGCTTCAACATTCTGTTGCCTCCTCTTGAGGTAATCTCTCAAGTCTTCTTTACTCCTTCCTGGAGCTCGGCTATCTTTTGATTTCAATCTCTTCGGCACACTACTTTCGGCCTCGTGGTGGGCTCGTTTTGATCTCTCTCCATGTGTTGTGTCAAAGCAAAGTGCCTTCCCTTGAACACGGCGATGTTCTTTGGGCTCTGGATCCTTCGTGTGATACGTCCTTTGGGACTCTTCTCGTCTCGGCTCCTCTCGTCCGCCTTCCCTGGAAGGTCGGTGAGAGTGCCTTCCGCTTCTGGTGTGCCGAGGGAGTTCGGGGATTGTTCTTCTTCCTCCCTTCTGGGTATTGGTTGCTGGCATCGGTGTGTCCTGCAATGGGTATGGTGGCTGCATGACATTATTTTGCATCATGAAGTTGACGACCGACTGTAGGTCCGCCAACTTGTTTGCCAAGTCTTTTACTTCCTCATCCCTCCGTAGGCACCTATCCCTCCATACCTGAAGGTTATCTTCGTTATAGTACTTGCCTTGGTCTGTCTTCTTTGAAGTGTTGCCCTCCTGGCCGACGTCTTTCTCTCCGTGGCCCTGGCCATGAGTTTCTGTGTTGTGGTTGTCTCCTTCAAAGTCAAGATCAATTGGTCTGCCACTCCCAGCAGGAGTGTCGCCCCCAATGTTTTCCCTCGGTTCGTCACTGGCCATCCATTCTTCTAAGTTCCCACAGACGGCGCCAAATTGTGCACTGCCCGCCTAGTAATCAGCTGGAGAGCACCGGCAGAATAAATGGCTTCAGCAAACCTGTAACAGAAAGAAAAGGCTCCGACGGTGGCTCTTACACCCGGGGGCACTCCGACGATCAAGTCAGTATATCTCTCAAAGATAATCAAGTGCTAAACTCACAAGCTTGAGTATAAAACTGCGTACCTTAGACCCACGGGGGTGCCTCTATTTTATAGTTTACTCAATCTTAGTCCTACTAGAAGCTTGACTTCTATGGACTTCAATTTAATACTTACTTTGGACTCCTCAAGAGATAAAGATAAACTCCCTAACAGTTTTATCCTTATCTCAGCAAAGTCTTCTCTTTACTCTAGGACTCTTGTCCCTTATCCGCTTATCTCGGATTCCGATATCTTCGGAGATCACCTCGGCCTTGCCTAGGTAACCTCGGCATAGCTACCAGGACACGTGGCACCTTGGCTAACACGTCGGCGTCACCATGCCACGTGTTGGTATTCAGAAAATATATCCCCACAGTATATATATATATATATATAGGAGTTCATCATTTGACTGAGGCTCTCTCTCTCTCTCTCCCTCTCCCTCTCTCTGTCCTTATGATTCTAATAAGTCCTATCATATCTTTCAATTCCAAGATATTTAATGAGCCTATTTCCCTACTATTACATGGATGCATTCAAGTGTTGGGTGATTAATCACCCACACTGCCACCAAATTTCATTTTTTTTTTTATTCGTGTGAGTTTCTTAAAATTAATTAATTCAGGCTTTTAACTAAGTTATTTAGTAAAAATAATTATTATATTAAATCATCATTAAATTAAATTATAAGCAATAAATATTGAATACCCACAAAATTGTTATTCCTAACAACGTTTTTGTTAGTGATTGAAATTGGTTTAAAATTAACCTATACACTAATGTTAAAATTCACCTACTACACACCTACCACTACCACCTACTACACACTCACCTACTACACCTACTCTCCACCTACTCCTCACCTACTCCTCACCTACTACATACTCACCCTCTTCTATATATAGGAATCATGAATCATTGTAATAGATATCAATACAACAATCAATAATACAATTCTCTATTTCTTTTTATACATTGAATTCTAACATGGTATCAGAGCAAAGTTAACAACTTAGTAATTCCGCTTCACCGGCTGACGGCAACCTCGCATTGGCCGTCCGCCGGACAAACCCAAATTTCCTTAATCTCTCTCTCTCTATCTATCTAAGCCATGGCTCTGCAACTCTGGGAGACCCTTGAAGATGCGATCACCGTCTACACGAGTCTCACTCCAGCAACTTTCTTCACAGGCCTCGCTTTGGGTCTCGCTATCTACTATGTTCTCTCCAGTCTGTTTGGTTCCTCTGGTAATAATCAACGTAAGAGTTCTAGGGAGTTGCAGGAGGAGATGCAGCCTCTTCCCCCTCCTGTTCAGCTTGGTGAGGTCACTGAAGAGGAATTGAAGGTCTACGATGGTTCTGATCCTAAAAGGCCTCTTCTCATGGCGATCAAGGGTCAGATCTATGATGTCACACAGAGCAGGATGTTTTATGGACCCGGTGGCCCATATGCTCTATTTGCTGGAAAAGATGCTAGCAGAGCTCTAGCAAAGATGTCCTTTGAGGAGCAAGATCTAACTGGAGATATCTCTGGTCTTGGTCCATTCGAACTCGACGCGTCGCAAGATTGGGAATACAAGTTCATGACCAAGTATGCGAAAGTTGGGTCTGTTAAAAAGACAGTACCAGTGACTGATGGGTCATCGAGTGGGGAAGCTGTCGAGACAACTGACCGCGATGTTGATGATCAGCCTACAGACAATGGTCCATCTGAAAATGCAGCTACTGGAATCACAGAAACCGAGTCTGCTGTTGATGCCAACAAAGAAGACTGAGGAATGTTGTTATCCCTACCGTATGAAGTGAAAGTAATGTCTGGGTTGCCTCTTTTTTGGTGGGTCATTGCTTGCCATGTTGATCATAGCTATTTCTTTAATCAAACCCATACCCACTTTTTGATCAGGCTACTCTAAAATATTATCCCAAAACATCCACCACCCACGTTCTTTCACACTTTTCTTTTAATATATATATATATGATTACAATAATGCACCCACTCATTTCTTTATTTTGTTTTTTCTTTTACTTCCTTTACCACCACTCACTGTGACCCACGATGCTCAGATTCTCCAACCTATACTTTTTCTTTTCATTACACTCTTGTTCCCCACTTTCTTTATTTTATATATATATATAATATATATTCTTTTTTTATTAATTATATATTAAAAAAAAAAAAAACATTCATCATTCTCTCCCGTTTGATTCAAACTCCATTTTTTTATTTATTTTCTCCAAACCATTTCCTTATTTCCCCCATCTTTCATTTTTGATTTCACATATATTTTTATTATTTCTTCCTTATTTTTTCTTTCACATTATTTTTAATCTTTTTCCAATTCCATTCATACCATATAGCTGCACACCAACAACATATTTTATTCATCTCAGGGATCAACCCCGATCACAATTAATTTACACACACACAAAAAAAAAAAAAAACACAACAAACAACAAACCACCACAACAACACAAATGCTTTGTTTTCTTTTCTGCAGCGGCCACCACCCGACCTCACTTCTTCGCCATTCCGCCGGTCTTTTCTTCTTGCCTCCGTCCTGGGCGCTCTTGCCGGTTGTGCCTACCGTGTTTCCCCCCCCCACCACTGGCACGATCACTCTCCCTGCTCCTCACTGCCGCATATTGGCAGACCTCCAAATCGGAAACATCACGGTGGCCTTCCGCTTCAGCTCCTTATTTTCCGCCTTTTAGCACACATATCTCTCTCGCGCTATCCTATACATGGCTGAGCAGAGCCAGTTGGGCTTTAACTGTGACCTCATTTTGTCCTACTCTGAGCCGGTGCGACAAGTTGTGACCGCGTCATCGTCTCACCATGACTTCAGTATATGATTGGCCTCAATATCGTTTGCACCGCCATTTTTTGCTCCACAGCCGCATGGAAAGTTCAACGGAGCAAAACCAGGGGTTGGTTGAGGTTCAAGGGCCACTGCACCGTTATTTCTCTTGTGGACTCGTTGAGGTCGGGAAGAGAGTGAGCAGACCACGGGAGAAGAGACCATATTCTGGGTAGCTGAACGGGAAGAAGAGGCCATGTTCAGATGTTTCAGAATGCAATATTCAGATGTTTCAGAATGAAAATGTTCAGCGGTTTCAGACTGGTTTGCACAGCCTCCCCTCAACCTTGGTTAAATAGCCAGGGCGATCCGCGCCTCGGCGCCACTTGACGCAGACGACAAAACGGCGCGCAAGCCAATGTGGTGACGCGCCTCGCCATCCATGTCCGGCACATCTTTTTATGACTATGGGCTCGCCTTTTGATGGCACCGCCTTTTGAAGACTTGGGCACACCTTTTGGGTGCCGACTTTTTAGGGTCCGACAAGACTCTGTAAACTGTCCCGACATTGATTCCGGTTAGTTCTCTTACATCGGTCCGACATGCCCCTGTAAACTGTCTGCTACAACGGTCCGACATGACCCACATAAACTGTCCTCCACACCGTTATGACACCCACATACAGTGTCCTCTGCCACGTTATGACACCCCATACAGTTCCTCTACAACGTTATGACACCACCATCCAGTGTCTTCACCAATGGTCTGACACGACCATACAGTGTCTCCTATCCTCTTTTATTTTTATGTATTTTTCTTGTTTTGTTACTCTCTCAAACTCAAGTTTGTTAGTTCCATCCCCTTGAGTTTGCGTGGGGCCCGGGGGAGGGGAAGGACACTGTTCAAGACAACTCCTACCGACGACAGCCCGAGGGGGGGGGGGGGGGGGGTGGGGGATGTTAAAATTCACCTACTACACACCTACCACTACCACCTACTACACACTCACCTACTACACCTACTCTCCACCTACTCCTCACCTACTCCTCACCTACTACATACTCACCCTCTTCTATATATAGGAATCATGAATCATTGTAATAGATATCAATACAACAATCAATAATACAATTCTCTATTTCTTTTTATACATTGAATTCATAACAACTAATATATATTTTAAATAACTTAGCGATAAAATTAATTTATTATTGACGATCTTAGATGATGTAAAATTATTATTATCATTATTCATTATTATTTATAGAAATAATTAATGCGGGTATCTCACATGTCAAAATTTCTACTTTTACAAAATTAACAAAAAAATAAAATTTTTTAATTACTCTTCATATTGCAATAATAAAATTTACCAAAATTGTTATTGGAATGTAATTTTTTGGCATTATTAAAATGTTAGTTGAACTTAATGATTTATTAAATGGAGATGTGTTGTTATTGCGATTATAAATTTAAAGAGCAAATGTAATTTCTTAAAATATAGAGAATGATCGCATTTTAGTTAAATTTTAAGGGATTTATTTATAATTGTACCCTTAAAATTATTTAAAGTATGTAGTGACGTTTACAATGTAGCAAATATTACTTATCATACTGTGAAAGTGTAAACTTAAATTATATTAATATGAGTTAAATTTAAATATTAAATTTATTATATGTATCCATATGTTATATATAGACATATAATAAATTGTTATATTAATTTTTTTATGTAAGAGAGACTTTAAAGATAAACAAAAATTACATTATTTAAACAACCACCAGCTCTGCAGAACAACAGCAGGTGAAATAAATTTTAAAAAAATTACTAAAGACAAAGTTTAATAAAATATTTGAGGTTCTCAATGACTTTTTAAAAATATAGTAGATTTGAGAGGATAAAATTTGAAATTTTAAAAAGTGGAAAATATGGCAGTCTCTTCCACTTTTATAATAGTAGTAGTAGATATGTTAAAGACAATTAAAAAAAGTATAGAAACACAACATTGGGTATAAATTTGTCAATTTACAATTATAAACTTTCAAATTTGTTTTTCAATCTAAACTATTTCAACTAATTTCTGTAAGAAAAATCGATGAAAAATGGATATTTTCGCCATTAAATTTAATAAAAAATGATAAATTAATTGTGTTTTAGCATCTGTACTTGTGAGAATCTTGAGAAATAATATAAATCTCTACAAAGTGTAATGAAGGTTGAACATATTTTGCTTATATTTAGGATTTAGGGTTTCTTTCGTGACGTGTTTCTATTCTCTCCTCCATTTTAACTCGACGGTGGCTTTTCACAATCCACTGTCATGCCTCCTTCTCTGCCCCTGTCGGTGTTGCCTCCCCGTCCACCTCGTATTTCAGCCATCATCGCCTGTCTTCCCCAATCTGTTAGATGTTTCCCTAGATCACCTTTTTCTCCACTGGCTCAGTCTCTCTTCCCTTTCTGCCTTCACCACTGCTTGATTTGCCACCCCCCCCCATTGCTGCGGTAGTTTGTTTTGGTTGTGGGTTTGTTAGTGTTTTTTTGGTTTTTATACTTTTGTTCTACTGTTGTTTGGTTATTAGAACTCCATCAGTGTGGGCCTGTTAAGCTTACACCTTCTGTGGTTGGGATCTAATGATTTATTTCGTACATGCTCTATTGTTGAACTTTTATGATCGGTTTTACTTCGTTGTACGAGCACGAGTGCAAATTGTACATCAGAATATTTTCATAATTTTCTTCCTTCGTGCTTTTCGCTTTATTTTCACTTTGTTTGTGTAAGTTTTGAATTGGCATGAACTCTTGTGTAAGTGCCGTTTGGACTTTCTTGAATGAAATTTTTTCGAATCAAAAAAAAAAAAAACAAAACAAAACAAAACAAAAAGAAGGTGAACTGAAAAAAAAAAAGAAAAAACAAAGGTAAGTTTGAAACGATGCATGTTTTCGGCACCATCAGAGGGACAGTTGCGAGGGTCACATCCTATCCAATTAACACAATTGAATGTGAGGATTTTTAACTAGAGATTGCTTCATCACCAACATTGCTTTTGCATAAACTCATTGATTGCACTTTCAATTGATGGAGATTTTTTTTTTCTTTGCCGATAAGTGTCGATATTGGAGATCTTTGACGGAGTATTTAAGAACTAGATCTTTCAATTCAGATCTTTTCGCGGACGATAAAGATTCAATTAAAGAATGAGATCTTTGCAGTCATCATCGTCAAAGACGTCATCAATGTGATCTTCTCCATGTATGTATTTTTTTCCTTGCACTTTCTGGGTTTGTGAGTATTTATATACATATATATAATATACTATGGCCGGGAACACCGATGCGTGTGTTAACTCATTTGGAAAACTCAATTGATAAAAGTTTTAATACATCCGCATTCATTTATTTATTTTTAATTTTTTATTCTATTATATTCAATTGCATAATTAGAATTTATGATAATTATATAAAACTCTAAAAAAAAACAGGAGGACTTTTTAATGATTAGTCAATTTTAGAAGTGTTTTAACCCAAGAAGTCCAAAAAGAAATTTTTTTAACCCATTTCGTCCGCATGTATGTATAGTTTTATTCCATAAAGTCCATTTTCTTGATTTACACTATATTTCTGGAAACACTTATGCCCTTAATATTTTAATTTTGATACCTTATAAATAATTTTTTTCAACGATTAGCAATTTAATGATGGAACATCATATTTTAAAACATTCACATTTGTAGGAATTATAAATTGTGCCCGTGGGCGGCCAAACCCACCGCGAGCCGGCGGGCCCGGCCCGTTGACCATGTGAATATTCACATGACATGTTAAAATTCACATTAATGGAGTGTAAAATTGGCTCCGTCCTGTGGCGGCGTGAAACACCGCCCGCCGGCCCGATGGCGCCTGGCGGCGAGCTCAGGATCCGGCCCGTTGACAATCGTGAATATTCACATTGATTATGTTAACATTCACATTGATAAGAGTATAAATTGGGCCGCGGCCCATGGGCGACCAAAAGCCCGCCCGCGGCCCGGGGCGGGCCCGGCCCGGCCTGTTGACAATGTGAATGTTCACATTGACATGTTAACATGCACATTGATAGGAGTGTAAAATTAGCCCGCGCCTCGTAGCTGCCCGAAACCCGCCCACGGCCCGTGGGCGGGCCCGACCCGGCCTGTTGACAATGTGAATGTTCACATTGACATGTTAACGTTCACATTGATAAGAGTATAAAACTAGATAGCAG